CAATACCACAGCATGAATATTCATTAGAGATATTTTTAAAATTGTTTCAATTAGAAAACGACCCATTCAGTTTTATATGCTTAAAACGATGTGTTAAAGGGACTTTAATACACTTTAATATTTAATATTACAACTTGTATAAAAATTTAGAAATATGTAATATTTAAACAAAATATCATAGAAAATTTTCAATAAATTTTCTTTTTATGGAAAATTTTCCATAAATTTTCTTTTTATGGAAAATATTCCATAAATTTTCTTTTTATGGAAAATTTTCCATAAATTTTCTTTTTATAGAAAATTTTCTTTTTATAGAAAATTTTCAATAAATTTTCTTTTTATAGAAAATTTTCAATAAATTTTCTTTTTATAGAAAATTTTCAATAAATTTTCTTTTTATAGAAAATTTTCAATAAATTTTCTTTTTATAGAAAATTTTCAATAAATTTTCTTTTTATAGAAAATTTTCAATAAATTTTCTTTTTATAGAAAATTTTCAATAAATTTTCTTTTTATAGAAAATTTTCAATAAATTTTCTTTTTATAGAAAATTTTCAATAAATTTTCTTTTTATAGAACATTTTCAATAAATTTTCCTTTTATAGAACATTTTCATTTTCATTTCATTTCATAAATTTTCTTTTTATAGAACATTTTCAATAAATTTGCTTTTTATAGAACATTTTCAATAAATTTTCTTTTTATAGAACATTTTCATTTCATTTCATAAATTTTCTTTTTATAGAAAATTTTCAATAAATTTTCTTTTTATAAAAAATTTTCAATAAATTTTCTTTTTATAGAAAATTTTCAATAAATTTTCTTTTTATAGAAAATTTTCAATAAATTTTCTTTTTATAGAAAATTTTCAATAAATTTTCTTTTTATAGAAAATTTTCAATAAATTTTCTTTTATAGAAAATTTTCAATAAATTTTCTTTTATAGAAAATTTTCAATAAATTTTCTTTTTATAGAAAATTTTCAATAAATTTTCTTTTTATAGAAAATTTTCAATAAATTTTCTTTTTATAGAAAATTTTCAATAAATTTTCTTTTTATAGAAAATTTTCAATAAATTTTCTTTTTATAGAAAATTTTCAATAAATTTTCTTTTTATAGAAAATTTTCAATAAATTTTCCTTTTAATTTTCTTTTATAGAAAATTTTCAATAAATTTTCTTTTTATAGAACATTTTCAATAAATTTTCCTTTTATAGAACATTTTCATTTTCATTTCATTTCATAAATTTTCTTTTTATAGAACATTTTCAATAAATTTGCTTTTATAGAACATTTTCAATAAATTTTCTTTTTATAGAACATTTTCATTTTCATTTCATTTCATAAATTTTCTTTTATAGAAAATTTTCAATAAATTTTCTTTTTATAAAAAATTTTCAATAAATTTTCTTTTTATAGAAAATTTTCAATAAATTTTCTTTTTATAGAAAATTTTCAATAAATTTTCTTTTTATAGAAAATTTTCAATAAATTTTCTTTTTATAGAAAATTTTTAATAAATTTTCTTTTATAGAAAATTTTCAATAAATTTTCTTTTTATAGAAAATTTTCAATAAATTTTCTTTTTATAGAAAATTTTCAATAAATTTTCTTTTTATAGAAAATTTTCAATAAATTTTCTTTTTATAGAAAATTTTCAATAAATTTTCTTTTTATAGAAAATTTTCAATAAATTTTCTTTTTATAGAAAATTTTCAATAAATTTTCTTTTTATAGAAAATATTCAATAAATTTTCTTTTTATAGAAAATTTTCAATAAATTTTAATTTTATAGAAAATTTTCAATAAATTTTCTTTTTATAGAAAATTTTCAATAAATTTTCTTTTTATAGAAAATTTTCAATAAATTTTCTTTTTATAGAAAATTTTCAATAAATTTTCTTTTTATAGAAAATTTTCAATAAATTTTCTTTTTATAGAAAATTTTCAATAAATTTTCTTTTTATAGAAAATTTTCAATAAATTTTCTTTTTATAGAAAATTTTCAATAAATTTTCTTTTTATAGAAAATTTTCAATAAATTTTAATTTTATAGAAAATTTTCAATAAATTTTCTTTTTATAGAAAATTTTCAATAAATTTTCTTTTTTTAATATTACAACTTGTATAAAACAATTATAAATATTTATCCCTTTATTCACAAACAAAATTTTTATTTTATAAACAGTTTATAAATTAGATTTTGTATGGAAATTTTGTTTAATAAACCTTTTATAAAATAAAAATGTTGTTTGTGAATAAGGGGTTTAAAATTTAAACAAAGTATAATTTTTAATAAATTTTCTTTTTATAGAAAATTTTCAATAAATTTTCTTTTTATAGAAAATTGTCAATAATTTTTTTTTTTTTTTATAGAAAATTTTCAATAAATTTTCTTTTTATAGAAAATTTTCAATAAATTTTCTTTTTATGGAAAATTTTCAATAAATTTTCTTTTTATAGAACATTTTCAATAAATTTTCTTTTTATAGAACATTTTCAATAAATATTCTTTTTTTAACAGAAAATTCTCAATAAATTTTCTTTTCATAGGAAATCGTTAACAAATTTTCTTTTTATGGAAAAATGTTCAATAAATTTTTTTCTTATAGAAAATTTACAATAAATTTCCTTTTTATAGAAAACTAGCTATAGCCAGTGTGCTTTGCTACCCTAAAATCAATGTATATAAAAAAACACTTTACGATTTTGAAGATTCCAAATGTAGTAGTTTTCCAGATTTATTTTTTTTACATTTTGGGGATGTCACGCAAATTATTGCAAGTACGCCAATTTTTCCAAACGTTAATTTCGATTTTAATGTAACCTATGAAAAAATTAAATAATATAATAGTTTCCCACATGTACGAAATTTTGTATTTAATTCATATGGGGGATCCCAAGATCCCATTGATAATCCGCCCATTTTTCTCTAAATGTTCACATAAATGTCGAAGTTTTTCATGTAAAATTTTCTAGTTTTTATATTTATTCAGATATATGAATTTTTTATTTAATTCATATGGGAGGTTCCAATTAGTAAGTCCGCCCATATATTACCCGAACGTTCACATTGACTTTAAAAGATTTTTGCTCTAATAGTTCCCCAGACACACGATATTTTCTACTTATTTCATATGGGAGGTTCCAACCCCCCTAATGATAGTCCGCCCATTTTCCCCAAAATGTTCAAAAAAATGTTAAATTTCACCGTGCAAAATTTGAAGATTTTAGGTCTATTAGTTTTTCAGACCAACGACAACGCCAATTTATTTACATGGATGTTAAAGTTGTTCTTGCAAAATTTGAGGATTTTAGCTCTAATAGTTTTTCAAATATACGAATTGTTCTATTTACTTCATATGGGGGGTTCCAAGTCCCCCTGATAAAAGTCCGCCCTTTTTCCCCAAAATGTTCAGATGAATATAAAAGTTCTTCTTGCAAAATTTTAAGAAGCTAGCTTTATTAGTATCCCAGATAAACGAATTTTTGTATATTTTATTCATATGGGAGGAGGAACGCCCCCCATTGGTAGTCTGCCAATTTATTACATGGATGCTAAAGTTCTTCGTGCAAAATTTGAAGGTTCTAACTATAATAGTTTCCCAGATAAGCGAATTTTTGTATTTAATTCATATGGTGGGTGCCACGCCCCCTACTGCTAGTACGCCCCCTTTTTCCTTAAATAATCATATTGATCCTAAAGTAGGTCCTACAAAATTTGAGGACTCTATCTGTTATATTTTCTCAGATATACTGATTTAAGATTTTCTTCATATGGAAGGTGCCACGCCCACTATCGCCATTCCGCCCATTTTATCCAAAAATATTCTTATGGATGTCAAAGTTGTCCATACTCTTGCAGCTTCTGAGATATGCGACTTTTAATACTTATTTTGAATGTGGGCGTGGCACGTCGCCCACTTGAAATTTTGAAGTTAAAAGTAGCCTATAGTTCCTTTAGCTGTCTATAAAGTCTAAACAAACAAACAAACATACAAACACACATTTATTTTTATATATATAGATTTTCAGTATATTTTCTTTTATATAACATTTTCGATAAATTTTTTTTATAGAAATTTTTCCTTTTATAGAACAATTTCGTTAAATTTTCCTTTTATTGAAAATTTTTAATAAATTTTCTTTTTACAAACAAATTTTCTTTTTATAGAAAATTTTCGTAAAATTTCTTTTTATAGAAAATTTTGTTTCATTTCTTTTTTAAAGAGAAAATTAAATTTCCTTTTTATAGAAAATTTTTGTTTAATTTCCTCTTTAGAGAAAATTTTTGTTCCTTTTTACAGAAAATTTTCGGAAAAATTTCTTTTTATACAAAATTTTCATTGAATTTTTCTTTTATACAAAATTGTCGTAAAATTTCCTTTTTATAGAAAGCGTTGATAGTATTTGCTTTAAAACAAAAATGTCGACTTTTGTTAATTTATAAAAGTCGACTTTCCGATATTTTCTAAAACAAATGTAAAAAATAAATTTTAAGTATTTTTAAATGTCTTATTTTCGAACTTAATGACGACTTTTCCAACTTATAAGATTCTATAATTCAGAAATGTCAATTTATGAAAAGTCGGCTTCTTTTAATGATAACTAAATAAATACAATTTATTAAATTATTACCTCTGCACATTTATAAACCGAATTTAATTTTTTATTTTTTGTGAGGCGAATTATTCCTAGTATTTTAGTACCTTAAATATATAAGAAATATTTACATTTAATTAGATTTAGTTAAAAATATGTTTAAAACATAACATTTTCAATCTCTATGTATCAACATTTTATTAAATAAACCAAAATTATTATTATAATAGATTTTTTTAAACAAACCGCGTTAATCATTAAATTTTAATTTCTTTGAATCATGTTCATAATAAGTTCATAATAACATTTATACATGACTCACCCTGTCTTAAATGTTTATGTACGAAATTCGAATATCGAAATTGCAACACAACAGCTGATCAAAACAACTGTTTACAATTTTTTACAATCGGCGTCTTTTTTCAACAAAGCAGAAAAGTTTTTCAATTTTTATAACAAAATTAATTAAAAATAAAAAAAAATAAGGCCACATTTCAAATAAAAACAATGTGGAATTAAATAAACAACAAGCAATCAATATTAATAAAATAAAACTTCAACAATGGAGGCGATTTTACCTTTTAAAATAAAAAATGAACAAAAGTTTTTTGAAAGTGCCTTAAAAGTGGGCTACAATGAAATGGAAATAGTAAGTAATTGTAAATAGCATTAAATATTAAAGATTTTTAATAAAAAACTATAAAAATTTCAGTATAAATTCATTTATGTCATGCAACAAAGTGACTTGGACATTTTTCCCAAAATGCATGACGAACGCATTAATATACTTATCTATGGCTGGGAATTGTGTGAAGACTATAAGCAAAAACTTAATCCCAATGAATGGGAATTGCCGGAGGAGATGGAAGTTATATTAAAACTTCTAGTACCGTGGAGTATGGATATATGGTTTAGTAAGGAATGGGATAAATGCAAAATATATTTGAAAATTGGTTTAATACATTGTTTAAATCGTGCCCGTGATTTGCTGATGCGTATGCCGGATATGATGCAAATCAATTGGGATTTTCTGTTGCTTTACAATCTTAAGCCTTGGAATGTTATGTATTTGAAGAATCTTACTGTGACGAAAGAGAAAACATTGGAAAATGGTGCTCAATCTATTGAGACGGAGGAATTGCCGGCAACGAATGAGGGTAAGAGGAAAGAATCTATAGTCTAGTCCAAAGTAGAGTCTAGTCCAAAGTAGAGTCTAGTCCAAAGTAGAGTCTAGCCCGTAGAAGAATCTAGTCTAGTCTATAGTCTGGTCTATAATCTAGTCTATAGTCTAGTTAATAGACTAGTCTATAATCTAATTTATAATCTAGTCCATAATCTAGTTAATGCTAGTCCATAGTCTAGTCTATAATATATTATATAATGTAGTCTATAGTCTAGCCTATTATATAGTCTAATCTACAGTCTAGTATATAATCTAGACTATTCTATAATCTAGTTTATAGTTTAGTCTAGTTTATAGTATAGTCTAATCTTTACACAAGTCTGTAGTCTAGTCTCTATTACAGTATTTCTGAAATCCTTAGTATCAATCTGATTTTTTTTTCTTTCCAGATATTTCCTATGTTAAACTGGAACAATTACCATTAATTGTCTTACGTTTAGTTAAATTCTTTGATCAATCATCCATCGATATGGTGAAAACTTTATGTATGCGAGTTATAGCTGCTTGGAATAAAATACATCAGACTGAATTAGAAACATCAGGTTCTAGAAGACCTTATATACCTCCCGAAGACAAAAGATGTCTCTTATTGATATGTCACATTTATCTAATGGCAGTTTATGAATCAGATGATGTCAAAGGTTATGTCATAGATAATATGGTATGAAAACACACAATTTCCAAAACAATGTTGAATATTTCTTAAAGATTTCTCTAATCTCTTTGTTAGATCAACAATATACGCTTCTATTATCAGGGATTTCAAAACTCTACCGCCATGTATGTTATGGATAATTTAGAATATACTCCTGCCCGTTTTATAGCTCTCACTAACATGCATTTGCGCGTACAGAAACGTGACTTTTTCGATTTCTTTATTTGGAATAAATATGATACTTCTCTGGTCAATTTATTTGGTGTTGTCTCACAAGCTTATAAAAGTTATTTGCTGGGCAATTTACTAATGGAACTTAATAATATGAATGAAGATGATTTCGCTTCAAATATACCGCTATACAAACGTCTTATGAATTCGTATGTTAATGAACGTGAAAAAAGTGAATTGTTTTTACTAAATGAATTGGACAAACTGGAAGCACAACGTTATGCTCATAATATTATACAGACTGTTAGGAATGTCACCGATTTTAAGAATAAAATATGTAAAGGAAATCGCATGAGTAATATTGGTAATTATGAAAATTCAGATGATACAGTAACACCTTTGGCTGATGCAGATAATGAAAATCCAACGGAGTTTGCCATGGAAGAAGAAGTAAGAGATGATGTTGTTGGTGAAGAGGGGGAAGATGAACAGGAACGTGTGCGTAAGAAAGAAAGTGAATTGCGTTTGGATCCCATATTTCAAAATTTACCTAATAATGAGAGTATACTTTATTATGTCTATGAAGTTTTGGCGAAGAAGGTAAGATTTAGCTGAAATCTAAAGTTTATTCAAGTCTAGGCACTATACTGGTCAAGTCTAGTGTAAAGTCTAGTCTATTATCTAGTGTAAAGTCTAGTCTATAGTGTTGTCTATAGTATAGTATACAGTCTAGTCTATAGTTTATTCTACAGTCTAGTCTATAGTCTAGTCTATTGTCTGGTCTACAGTCTAGTCTACAGTATAGTCTATAGTCTAGTCTATAATCTAGTCTATAGTTTAGTCTATAGTCTAGTATATAGTCTAGTATATAGTCTAGTTTATGGACTAGTCTATAGTCAAGTTTATGGTCTAGTCTATAGTCTAGTTTATGGCCTAGTCTAGTCTAGTTTATGGTCTAGTCTATAGTCTAGTTTATGGTCTAGTCTATAGTCTAGTTTATGTCTAGTCTATAGTCTAGTTTAGTCTATAGTCTAGTCTATAGTCTAGTCTATAGTCTAGTCTATAGTCTAGTCTATAGTCTAGTCTATAGTCTAGTCTATAGTCTAGTCTATAGTCTAGTCTATAGTCTAGTCTATAGTCTAGTCTATAGTCTAGTCTATAGTCTAGTCTATAGTCTAGTCTATAGTCTAGTCTATAGTCTAGTCTATAGTCTAGTCTATAGTCTAGTCTATAGTCTAGTCTATAGTCTAGTCTATAGTCTAGTCTATAGTCTAGTCTATAGTCTAGTCTATAGTCTAGTCTATAGTCTAGTCTATAGTCTAGTCTATAGTCTAGTCTATAGTCTAGTCTATAGTCTAGTCTATAGTCTAGTCTATAGTCTAGTCTATAGTCTAGTCTATAGTCTAGTCTATAGTCTAGTCTATAGTCTAGTCTATAGTCTAGTCTATAGTCTAGTCTATAGTCTAGTCTATAGTCTAGTCTATAGTCTAGTCTATAGTCTAGTCTATAGTCTAGTCTATAGTCTAGTCTATAGTCTAATCTATAGTCTATAGTATAGTCTATAGTCTAGTCTATTCTATAGTCTAGTCTATTCTATAGCCTATTCCATAGTCTAGTCTATAGTCTAGTCTATAGACTAGTCTATAGTCTAGTTTTTAATCTATGGTTTCATCTTTTGTCTAGTCTTTTATCTATATTATCCTCTTTTCAGGACTACAAAGGTTGGCATTTCGCTAAAATCGTTTTACTTGTCAAAATCATCGATCATGAACTAAACATGATCGAAACATGGCGTTATCATCCCGGTTTAACCGCTGATTTCATGTTGAATTTAGAAATTAAACTTTCCCATCATTATGTCGACTTGGCAAAAATCTTTAAAGATCATCCATTTTTGGAACAAGAATTTTGGCTTACAGCTTTCTATCTCAATCCCACTAACGATATCTATGAAACCATTAAAAGGCTGGGCATGCGTAACAACCGCAAACGTACCGATGAACAAGCGAAACTGGTCATGAGTATTGATAATATAGATGCCAAATATGGTTTACTAAGTTCTACCATAGATGTCAAAGAAATTGCCACTCTGGCCAATACCGATGATCCTGATACAGATTATAATCCCCTATTTGCAGCATTGCACTCTTTAAGGGTACCCGATAGTTTGGTTAAAGACATGATAACTGCCATATTCTTGCCACGTAATAAAAGTTTTGCCTGGGTTGTGGATTGGGGTGTATTACGTACACGTTGCAAAATGATTATGAATAATTCAAAGGAGAAAAAACGTTTTGTGGAACTTAATATGGCCGAGGCAAATGAACGTTTGAAATATTTAATAATCGATTATGAAAAATACAAGAATAGGCCACAGCTGGACTATGGTACTATAGAGGAGGGTTATGAGAATCTAATGACTAGTGGTGATTTCGATAAGGAAACAGATGAGGAGGAGGAAGAAGAAGAGGAGGATGATTTTGAAGATGATGAAGATGTGTACGAAAGTAAAAGAAGAGGTAGGGGAAGTTTTGCGGCAGCAGCCAGAAAGAAGGAAGAAGAAAAAGTTCAAGGTAAATATTTATTTATGTTTTGAAATCCTTTTTAGTTTTAATAAATTTTCTTAAACAGACGACAACTCCCAAGAAGATGATCCATTTTTAATGGGCAAAAGACGTACTCGGGCCCGTACTGCTGCTACTCTAGCCAGTTTCCTCTTTCAAACACTACCGCGCTCCTCTAGACGTAAGCGCAATCAAAAACCCATTGAAGAAGAAACAAAAGCTGATGATGACAAGACATCTAATGATAATGATGAAAAATCTTCGGAATCTAAATCACCCATAACAACCTCAGAATCACCCATGCCATCATCACCACTCAGCGGTGGAGGGGATCAAAAAGAGCCCGAAATTCCCATTCTACCCACTAAAAATATTAAAGATTGTTTGAAAGAAAGACCAACATTTTTGAATTCTACTCAGGGTTTTCAAAATCTTATCGATATTTGGAATGTAGAAAAAACTGATTTGCAATCAATCGATGAAAATTGTGTTTCATTAATGGAAAGTTCAGCTGTGCTAAAACGTGCTATTAAATGGAAGCAGTTGAACAAAGAGATAAATCCTATGGGTTGTGATGAAGAGGAATTTATCGATGAATCAGAGATGACAATACATAATGCAGAATTTGCCATAAAAATGGAATTTAATTTGAATGCAGTGAAAGAGGAAGATGTAGAAATGAAAAATGTGGAGATGGATGATGATGTAGAGAATGGTAAGTGGAAAGGTTTAAGAAATATTTTTTTAGATTTTGTTGTTATTTCGATAATTTTTTTTATGCTTTAGCAGAAACTAACGAATCTCATGAAGTCGTTGCGGCCAAGGAGGCTGAAGTTTCGGAAATGATAGTTATGGATGAAGTTACACTTGAAAAAGGTTAGTATTATGTTCAACTCGACTTTTTAAAGAAAAAAATTATTTTATACCCATTATTTTCTATTATTTTCTAAAAACCAAACATTCAATTTTTTACTTAAAATTCGACTTTTTACCAAAAATTCCACTTTTCATAAAAAATTTCAACTTTTCACTTAAAATTCCACTTTTCACCAAAAACTCTACTTCTCTCTGAACCTCGATTTTCCTTTAAAAACAATACTTTTCACTAGCCTAATCTATAGTCTAGTCTATAGTCAAGTCTATAGTCTAGTCTATAGTCAAGTCTATAGTCTAGTCTATAGTCAAGTCTATAGTCTAGTCTATAGTCAAGTCTATAGTCTAGTCTATAGTCTAGTCTATAGTCTAGTCTATAGTCAAGTCTATAGTCTAGTCTATAGTCAAGTCTATAGTCAAGTCTATAGTCAAGTCTATAGTCTAGTCTATAGTCTAGTCTATAGTCTAGTCTATAGTCTAGTCTATAGTCTAGTCTATAGTCGAGTCTATAGTCTAGTCTATAGTCTAGTCTATAGTCTAGTCTATAGTCTAGTCTATAGTCTAGTCTATAGTCTAGTCTATAGTCTAGTCTATAGTCTAGTCTATAGTCTAGTCTATAGTCTAGTCTATAGTCTAGTCTATAGTCTAGTCTATAGTCTAGTCTATAGTCTAGTCTATAGTCTAGTCTATAGTCTAGTCTATAGTCTAGTCTATAGTCTAGTCTATAGTCTAGTCTATAGTCTAGTCTATAGTCTAGTCTATAGTCTAGTCTATAGTCTAGTCTATAGTCTAGTCTATAGTCTAGTCTATAGTCTAGTCTATAGTCTAGTCTATAGTCTAGTCTATAGTCTAGTCTATAGTCTAGTCTATAGTCTAGTCTATAGTCTAGTCTATAGTCTAGTCTATAGTCTAGTCTATAGTCTAGTCTATAGTCTAGTCTATAGTCTAGTCTATAGTCTAGTCTATAGTCTAGTCTATAGTCTAGTCTATAGTCTAGTCTATAGTCTAGTCTATAGTCTAGTCTATAGTCTAGTCTATAGTCTAGTCTATAGTCTAGTCTATAGTCTAGTCTATAGTCCAGTCTATAGTCTAGTCTATAGTCTAGTCTATAGTCTAGTCTATAGTCTAGTCTATAGTCTAGTCTATAGTTTAGTCTACAGTCTAGTCTATAGTCTAGTCTATAGTCTAGTCTATAGTCTAGTCTATATTCTAGTCTATAGTCTACTCTATAGTCTAGTCTATAGTCTAGTCTATAGTCTAGTCTATAGTCTAGTCTATAGTCTAGTCTATAGTCTAGTCTATAGTCTAGTCTATAGTCTAGTCTATAGTCTAGTCTATAGTCTAGTCTATAGTCAAGTCTATAGTCTAGTCTATAGTCTAGTCTATAGTCTAGTCTATAGTCTAGTCTATAGTCTAGTCTATTGTCTAGTCTATAGTCTAGTATATAGTCTCGATTTTTGCTAAAAACTCCTTTTCTAATAAAAACTCGATTTATTACTAAAAACTTTTCTACAAAAATCCGATATTTTAAACTTGATTTTCTCCAAAAAAATCGTTTTTTAATCTATTCTTTTCTAACTCTAGAAGCTGAATTGGAAGCCATCGAAAATGAGCAGAATCAAGAGGTATGTATATATTTTTTATTCATTTCTAAAAACTTAAATAAATATGATTTCTAATCACTTGAAACAAATTCCTACAGATACCGCCTATCGAGGAGAATAGCGACGATTCGGACATGTCGACAGCTGCTATTAAAGATAATGAGGAAGTCAGTGAAACAAATACAGAAATGAATAATTCAAAGCGTAATAGTATTAATAGTGATAATGAATTCTTAACGGATAAGATTGATGAAAATGAAGATTTAAATGAAGAAGACGAAACAACAACCAAGCAAATAGAGATTAAAGAGACTGAACAGGAAGAGAAAACACAAGAAGATACAAGTAAAGATGAACAGCAAAGTAAAGATGCTTTAGGGCAAAAAGACAAAGAAGATAAACAAACTGAAGAAAAATCATTAATTTATGAACTTAATGAAAAGGATTTAAAAAACAAAACAGAAACCACAATTTCTGAAGATTTAACAACAACAACGACAATTGCTGAGAAATCTACGGCAGGCGAGGAATCAATAGAAAAAGTTTCCGAAACATTAACTATCAACGACAAAGTAAATTCGAACGAATCAGAGAAATTAGAAGAGACACAACAAGATAATAAAACTGAAAAGCCAGATGATTTGGAGATAAAGAATAATGAAACTTCAGAGAAAACTAAAGAAACGTTAGAAAAAAATTTGGTATCAAAAGAAATTACAGAAGATGCAAATAGAACAAACAATTCAAACCAAGATTCTTCACTCCCAAACACTGAAACAGAAAGATCTGAAACAAAAGATAAAGAATCCCATTCGCAATCTCTGCTTGATGAATCTAATATAGTATTACACTACTCCTCCTGCGAAGATTTGGAAGCATCAAAGACACAAGCTGAAGAAATAAAATCCGAGACAGAAGAAACTAAAGATGAATCAGTTAAGTCCGAAGAATACTCTGATAGTAGTGATACACGAGAGTTAAAAAATCAGTGTTTAACTAAGAATGTAAAAGTATTAGTACGGAAATTACGACCTTCAGATTTGACAGATTTAAGGCAACCTAGAATAAAGATACGACGTGTTAGCTATGAAAAATACATGGAACAGTTAAGAGCTAAACGAAGGCGAATGGCTGGAAGAGGTAAATATATATTTAAGGGCAAAAAGTTTTCGATTTTATTATAAAATATCATTTTTCTCTCTGTTTTACAGCTTATGTTGACATCGACGACAGTTCTAATTCGAACAACAGCTACGGCGCCAATAGCAGTTCCTCTGATGCATATCAACCGCCTAAAGTTAAAAGAAAATTACCGCTGAGACGTCATTCTCTGCGTCAAATGCGTACTTCAGAATCTGATTATGACTCCACTAATTCAGATGATTTAAAACTATCTACAATGGTAACGAAAGTAAAAGTACGCGAAAGACGTTTAAGTACACCCTCATCATCACAAAGTTCCAACAACGCTGCTTCAGTTAGAAAATCAACAACAGCAGGTCCCAAATCGTCCAAACATAATCTAGTTGTAACACCACGCAGTGCCAGTGGCTTAAAATTACGCATATCAAATGCTGAACAAAATTCTCAAGAAGCGAAACGCAAGAAAACCTCATCATCTATAGAGTACGATGATATAATACAATTATCTTCCTCGTCGAGTGATGCATGTATACTAGCGCCCATTTTAGAAGAAGTTATTGAAGTAGACGATCATCCTTTATTCGAGGAGGAAATTATAATTTAAGTTTTTTTGTTTAGTTTTACTTTTTCTAGTTTAATTTCTTTACTGTAAATACCATATACGCAAAATTCAAGTTTACAGTGTGGACAAACATCTTTCTATTTCATCCTTTTTCCATCTAATTTATTTCTCTAATACTGTACATAGTAAAAAAAATTTAAGTTATTTTTAACAAAACTATAAAATTCACAACGTATTAATAAAGAAGAAATGTTTGATTTAGTATTTTTTTTTTTAACTTATTACGACTTTAGAATGTGTACTTGACCAACAAAAACTTCTAAATCTTAATCTAAAATCTAACATAAACATTAGTAAATACTTACTGATGTTTTATCTAACTTACCTAGTCTAGTCTATAGACTAGTCTATAGTCTAGTCTATAGTCTAGTCTACTCTAGTCTATAGTCTAGTCTGTAGTCTAGTCTATAGTCTAGTCTGTAGTCTAGTCTATAGTCTAGTCTATAGTCTAGTCTATAGTCTAGTCTATAGTCTAGTCTATAGTCTAGTCTATAGTCTAGTCTATAGTCTAGTCTATAGTCTAGTCTATAGTCTAGTCTATAGTCTAGTCTATAGTCTAGTCTATAGTCTAGTCTATAGTCTAGTCTATAGTCTAGTCTATAGTCTAGTCTATAGTCTAGTCTATAGTCTAGTCTATAGTCTAGTCTATAGTCTAGTCTATAGTCTAGTCTATAGTCTAGTCTATAGTCTAGTCTATAGTCTAGTCTATAGTCTAGTCTATAGTCTAGTCTAGTCTAGTCTAGTCTATTGTCTAGTCCATAGTCTTGTCTATAGTCTAGTATATAGTCTAGTCTATAGTCTAGTTTATAGTCTAGTCTATAGTCTAGTCTATAGTCCAATCTATTGTCTAGTCTATAGTCTAGTCTATAGTCTAGTCCATAGTCTAGTCTATAGTCTAGTCTATAGTCTAGTCTATAGTCTAGTGTATAATCTAGTCTATAGTCTAGTCTATAGTCTAGTGTATAATCTAGTCTATAGTCTAGTCTATAGTCTAGTCTATAGTCTAGTCTATAGTTTAGTCTATAGTCTAGTATATAGTCTAGTCTATAGTCTAGTCTATAGTCTAGTCTATAGTCTAGTCTATAGTCTAGTCTATAGTCTAGTCTATAGTCTAGTCTAAAGTCTAGTCTATAGTCTAGTCTATAGACTAGTCTAGTCTATAGTCTAGTCTATAGTCTAGTCTATAGTCTAGTCCATAGTCTAGTCTATATTCTAGTCCATAGTCTAGTCTATAGTCTAGTATATAGTCTAGTCTATAGTCTAGTTTATAGTCTAGTTTATAGTGTAGTCTATAGTCCAATCTATTGTCTAGTCTATAGTCTAGTCTATAGTCTAGTCCATAGTCTAGTCTATAGTCTAGTCTATAGTCTAGTCTATAGTCTAGTCTATAGTCTAGTCTATAGTCTAGTGTATAATCTAGTCTATAGTCTAGTCTATAGTTTAGTCTATAGTCTAGTCTATAGTCTAGTCTATAGTCTAGTCTATAGTCTAGTCTATAGTCTAGTCTATAGTCTAGTCTATAGTCTAGTATATAGTCTAGTATATAGTCTAGTCTATAGTCTAGTATATAGTCTAGTATAGTCTAGTCTATAGTGTAGTCTATAGTCTAGTCTATAGTCTAGTATATAGTCTAGTCTATAGTCTAGTATATAGTCTAGTATATAGTCTAGTCTATAGTCTAGTCTATAGTCTCGTCTATATGGTCTAGTCTATAGTATAGTCTATAGTCTAGTCTACAGTCTAGTCTATAGTCTAGTATATATATAGTATAGTCTATAGTATAGTCTATAGTATAGTCTATAGTCTAGTCTATAGTCTAGTCTATAGTCTAGTCTATAGTGTAGTCTATAGTCTAGTCTATAGTCTAGTCTATAGTCTAGTCTATAGTCTAGTCTATAGCCTAGTCTATAGTCTAGTCTATAGTCTAGTCTAGTCTATAGTCTAGTCTATAGTCTAGTCTATAGTCTAGTATATAGTCTAGTATATAGCCTAGTCTATAGTCTAATCTATAGTCTAGTATATAGTCTAGTCTATAGTCTAGTCTATAGTCTAGTATATAGTCTAGTCTATAGTCTAGTATATAGTCTAGTATATAGTCTAGTATATAGTCTTGCCTATAGTCTAGTCTATGGTCTATAGTCTAGTATATAGTCTAGTCTATAGTCTAGGTATAGTCTAGTATATAGTCTAGTCTATAGTCTAGTCTATAGTCTATAGTCTAGTCTATAGTCTAGTCTATAGTCTAGTCTATAGTCTAGTCTATAGTCTAGTCTATAGTCTCGTCTATAGTCTCGTCTATATGGTCTAGTCTACAGTCTAGTCTATAGTCTAGTTTATATATAGTATAGTCTATAGTCTAGTCTAGTCTAGTCTATAGACTAGTCTATAGTCTAGTCTATAGTCTAGTCTATAGTCTAGTCTATAGTCTAGTCTAGTATAGTCTAGTCTATAGTCTAATCTATAGTCTAGTCTATAGTCTAGTATATAGTCTAGTCTATAGTCTAGTATATAGTCTAGTCTATAGTCTAGTCTATAGTCTAGTCTATAGTCTAGTCTATAGTCTAGTCTATAGTCTAGTATATAGTCTAGTCTATAGTCTAGTCTATAGTCTACTCTGGTCTATAGTTTAGTCTATAGTCTAGTCTGTAGTCTAGTCTATAGTTTAGTATATAGTCTAGTAAATTGTCTAGTCTACATTATAGTCTAGAATATAGTCTAGTCTATAGTCTAGTCTGTAGTCTAGGCTATAGTATGTTCTATAGTCTTGTCTATGGTACAGTCTATGGCATTGTCTATATGTAGTCTAGTCTATGGTATAGTCTATAGTCTAGTGAGGTGTATAGTATAATCTGTAGTCTAGTTAATTGTCAATTCTATAGTTTCGCCATTATTCTAGTCTAGCCTACAGCCTATAATCATAGACTATTATTAATCTAAAACTAACATTATATTTATATGAAAGCTATTCAATATAAAATGCAATGTAAAAATAACATCCCCTAAACCAGTAGAAAATTTCATTGCAAACTAGAAAAGAACGAAAATAATGATAATAATAGTTTTGTAATTGTAAAAATTGCAGTTTTTACTCCCAAAAACTAAAAAGGGAATGCATCCATCATACTCATCCATTGAACAAAAAAATAATAATAATACATAAATCTTTGTACTTAGTGAGAGGAACACTGTCATCTTTCGTTTAAAAATTGTGAAAAGTGTATTTTTTGCAAACCAACCCCTAAGTTAGAAAACATATTTGCAAAAGGATCCTTTTATTTATTCTATAATAAGAAAATCAAAATTTTTACAGGAAAATTTCAATGAATTCCAATTGTTGACGTTACACACGCAGCAAACATTTCTACCCACTATACATATACTAAACAGAGGCAGTAATGAATTTTAATCATGTTTACTTATTTCGAGGATTAAAGGACTTCTTTTTGGTGAAAAAAAAAAAATAAATAAAATTTAGTGTGACATTGATAGAATCTGTGTATGTGAATGATTTTACTTACTTGATTTAGTGTTTATGTATTTGTACATGTTTAAAGAAAACAAATAAAGTGTCTTGTATGATTTGGCCAATTTTAAAGTGAACATATTGTGCCTGTTTAAGACAGGGATTTAAAGGAGTGATTTTGTGAAAGAATCGGAAGGTAAAGTCTAGACTACAGATTAGACTATAATGTAGCCATTAGACTTTACTATTAACTAGACTATTATAATATAACCTAAAGTTTATAAAAGACTAAACTCCTTTGAATAACTGCTTTAGAAATACCATTTTCAAATGTTAACACCAACATAAAATAATTTCTATTGCTATTACTTTTATACACTCCATCTCTTTCATATTCTTCCTTCGTCCTGTTCAAATAGTAACTGCAGCAAATAAACAAACAAAAACTGTCTCTTTATCCTATTGTTGTTTATTGTTGGCATTTTTGTGTTGGATTATTTACTTTTTGCTAATATTTTATGACACCACACTGACAGACCGGCAGACAGACAGAAAAAACCTAATAAGGATGACAAGGACATATTTGAATGATATGAATTTATAATAGGATTTATTTGTTCTTTGCTTTACTCTTCGACTATTGGCAAAATTTGTTGCGGTGGCGTTTTTGTGTTGATTTTGTTTAAATTTGCGTAGTAAATTTATTCGTTAAGGATAATTTCTAATTAAAGCGGCTAGTTGACTTTTTAAGTGCACAAATATTAATTGGAGGGAAAGTGAGAGACATAATAGCGAGAAAGACGAAACATAGAAATTAATAAACATAATGATTAAAACTATAGACTCGACCATAGATTGGACTATAGACTCGTCTATCGATTTGACTATAGACTATACTATAAAGTAGACCATACTATGGATTAGACTATGGACTCGACTATGGACTAGACTAAAGACAATGGGATAAAGAGACAGTTTGTTAGACTATAGACTAAACTATAGCCTAGACTATAGACTGCAGACTAGACTATAGACTAGACTATAGACTAGACTATAGACTAGACTATAGACTAGACTATAGACTAGACTATAGACTAGACTATAGACTAGACTATATACTAGACTATAGACTAGACTATAGACTAGACTATAGACTAGACTATAGACTAGACTATAGACTAGACTATAGACTAGACTATAGACTAGACTAGACTAGACTATAGACTAGACTAGACTAGACTAGACTATAGACTAGACTATAGACTAGACTATAGACTATAGACTATAGACTAGACTAGACTAGACTATAGGACTAGACTATAGACTAGACTATAGACTAGAAATAGACTAGAATATAGACTAGACTATAGACTAGACTATAGACTACACTATACACTAGACTATAGACTACACTATACACTAGACTATAGACTAGACTATAGACTACACTGTAGACTAGACTATAGACTAGACTATAGACTAGACTATAGACTAGACTATAGACTAGACTATAGACTGGACTATAGACTAGACTATAGACTAGACTATAGACTAGACTATAGACTAGACTATAGACTAGACTATAGACTAGACTATAGACTAGACTATAACTAGACTATAGACTAGACTATAGACTAGACTTAGACTAGACTATAGACTAGACTATAGACTAGACTATAGACTAGACTATAGACTATACTATAGACTAGACTATAGACTAGACTATAGACTAGA